CAAGTATAGCCGAATGCGTAATCACTCTAGCTGGCCGCTAAGGCTGCGGGGGTGTCAGAGAAACCCTTGTCGTGAGCTCTCTTAGCCCCAAGCTAGGACCGTTCTGTATAAAATTAGCTCTCCAGAAAAAGAAGCCTAAATTAAAAGCATAAATATTTGTGAGCAGCGTCCTAGCTAAAATAAATATGTCATATATATATATATATATATATACACAGACACATTGTAGCAAATTCAATTTTCTCATCTGGCCATCTCTGAAGACTCTAGTGGCAATGTCCTTAAAGTGAATGTATTGCACTTTTTAACATAGTTTCTTTCCTTATTACAGTCAGAATTAAAGGAATAAACATTTGACAAATATTTTTTGCCATATATATGCCGTGTGCATATATATGGCAGCGCGGTGGAGGGCCTTAACGCTGAGCTGCTGCATATATGTGTCAGCCGGCTTTGCTATTCTGTGCAGAGAACGTGCTAGCGACACAGTGACCGGGCTGCCTCTGACAGCTCCCGGTCACCGCCGGTGGGAAGGGTTCCCAATCATGTGACCTCTGACACCCAATCACAGTGATCACATGATTGGGAAGCCTGCCTCCAGGGAGTCCCTAGACTATTCGGGGCTCATTGACATCAATGGTTGCCAGTAGACGTGACCCAATGAAATGCCTCCTGAGGCAGTCACCTCAGGCTGCCCAATTATAGTGATGGCACTACCCGCCTCCAACTCCCGGCATTAAAGTTCAATTCCAGGATTTGGGGCTACCTCTGCACTGCAAGGGTTATATTTTAATTTGTCTAGGGTATAAAATAAAAAAGATACGCTCACATGATCCTCACTCCTGCCTGATTGTTAGACTGGTGCCCACAGCCTCTTCCCCCCCAAGCTCTGGTGGTCTTAGGATCCGTGACATCATTGTGTCTATTGACTTGCATTGGATGTGAGGATGCCAAGGGACATTCCATAGCCGGAGTAGACGGGAGGAGAGGTGAGTGGTCACCGACACAGGACCAAGAAACAGGTAAGTATATCTTCTTTTTTAGTTTAAACTCTAGACCAAAACGAGCACTTAACCCATGCACTACGGGAGTAGCCCATTGCAAGGGTTCATTTTTTACATACCCAGAGTCCTTCTTTAACGCTGAGCTGCTGCATATATGCATTAGCTGGCTCTGCTGTGCTATTGTCCATTGAGAAGAAAGTGACAGTGTCAGTGTAATGGTCCACCCTCAACACACATATACTCACCTTTTCAGCACCGCCCTGCTACCCCTTCCTTCATCACAACCAGCACTGAAATTCTTGGTGTCGGCTTCTAGGCTGAGCAATGTCATCACCCCCTACCCACAATGGAGGAGGGCTGGAGAAGCGATGCCAAGGTGGATATCAGGGGGACAAGGGCCCTTTTGCAAATGTCATTTTGCCCTGATTACACAAGGAGACAGTGGCTCTGTAAAGGTATACTCCCGTCATAATTGAAAACTAAGCTGTGAAATGCATTCAAGAATTACAACTTACCCTTCCTTCACAGCACTTCAGTGTTTCATCCAGACATTGCTGCAGTCTACCTGTCCCTTCAGTTGGTGATTTAGTGTTTGGAGAACCCCTGAATTGATGCAAGAGAGAAATCCCTAAACACCTCCCGGCAGGCTCCTTGCTGTTTTTCCCATCCAGAAAACGGATCTAAAAAAAGTCAGGAGACACAATAAGACCTACACTGAATGTTTCAACATCAAAGAAAACTGAGAGATTGGAAGTAAAATAGCAGAGATTTCAGGACATACATCCCAGGGATCCTGTAAGGTTATGGTAAATAAAGTACATGACATCGGCACAATCATCCTGGCCTGTTGTTTATAGGGCAGGAGGCCCATGGAGCTTCACATTTCGGATCAGCTCAGTTCCGAACCTAACCAGGAAGTGCACTGCTATTTTAAGGGCTTATTCACACCATGTCCGGACAAAAAAAATTTGTTCCCAGGCAAAAAAGCATCCCAATGTATCCCTATGGTATTTCTGGGCTCTGTTCACACCAGTGCAGACCAGACAAAATAAAATACCGCTTGTCTCATTTTCTCTGGTCTGAGATGCATCACAAATGAATACAAATGCACTGGAGCACACTGGACTGCACCTGAAAGCCCATTTTAAGCTAAAAAGGAAAAAAACAACAACAACGGAACGTGGCAAAATTGCACTGCACTGCACTTGCAGATGTGCTCCAGATCTGGTCCAGGCATGGGGTGAATTAAGCAGGAAATTGAAGGCAGACGGTCCTTTTTTCAGGGTATGGCTAATGCTGGCCACAGACCTTACAACCATCGCAAGACTTTAGTCTTGCGATGGTTGTAAGGTAATTAAAAAAACGTACGATCTTTCTATCTTGGACAGGCAGATTGTACTTCTGATGATCGCAAGCCCGCCCCACCGCAATGCTGAACGGGCAGTGTGCGCTTGCGCACACCGGCCCGTGCGGCTTTTATCTTGCGCACATGCCACAAACCAGCTGAAAATTGTACGATGAACGGCTGGTTTTCGAAAATGTTCCTAAGATAAAAGTCGTGCGACCTTACAGTAGCAGAGGTCGCACGGCTCCCACACACCTTACGATTATCGTACGATTATCGCAAGGTGTGTGGGCACCTTAAGGCACAATGAACATTTCTAGGTGTTCTCTATAACATGATCACTTTTTAAGTTCAGGTCCACTAGAATTCGCTTTAGATTCTACTTTCCCTAATTTGTGCATTTTGGACATTAAAACTGAGAGATGTATTGTACTTAGATGATATGCAGAGTGTATACTCAGAGTGGTGCTACTCAGCAATGTTTGGATGACTTTTAAGACAGCTTGGCAAAAATAACTTGGTATTTATTCTTCTGATTAGAGCAATTATGGCTCAAGATACCAATAATCTGCATGAAATATCACAGTCCACCAGCAAGATTTCAGTTAATGTGTGCTCTTGATGAATAGGCTCCATTGAGTCTAAAGCTGCAGACGAGGATTCTGGGTAATGACATACTAATAATCAAATGGGGCTTGCTTTGTGTTGCCATGACACGTTACCATCTATATAATTTGCATCTAGGGTCCGTGTCTGTATTTTGCGTAGACTGGTTTCTGTAAAGCTTCTGCCTGACTTATGAGGTCAATCAGACACACAAAATGTTTGATTTATATTAAGTTTATTTAAAACTGCGTGCCCTACCTCTGTCTTTTTTTTGGCTCTTAAGTATGATTCCACCACAAAAATGTGACTCAGAGATATTAAGGCATTCCCGCTAAGTAGAAACTGGTAATTATTTTTTTTTTTTAAGAGGCAGCTGTAGTTGGAGCTGGAGTCTGAATCACTCCATCGAGTTTTGGAAACATGGAGAAGTATTATATAGGTGGCTGTGTTTATCCAAACCTTCTCAGGCTCATTCCTTCAGGGTGCCTGAGGTCAGAGCCTCTAGATCTCGTTTCCAGGCTGGATATCGGGTATTCCCTTCTGTGTTTTGCGGTGATGTGGGCTATGTGTTTGTGTTTTGTGGTAAGGAGGACTGCGTGTGTTTTGTGGTGAGGTTGCATGTATGCAGTTATAAGGGGTGGGAAGGTGTAAATAAGATGGAATGCGCTCACATTCTGTCTGAACGCACGCTAGACCTTCCAGGGAAGACACTATATGTTGTCGCGAGCACTTTTCACGTTATAGTAATGTGCAAACTTATATGAACTAGTAAATAGGAAGTGATAGCTAGCAGCTTCTTTTGGTTGCAAACTATGAGACAGCAGAAGCAGCGGGGCAGATGTAGGTTTAAGTTCAGTGAGACTAGTAAATGTTACTGTTATCGATTGTATGGGCAAATTATGGCATCCAGACATTCTACACAATGTCAACAATTCAACTGAATTTCTGAATGGTGTGTGTAGTATAGTGTTGATCACCCCTGCTTTGTTCCAGTAAAGCTTGCTGCCTGCTTCCTCCTTGCAATGGGTACTGCTGCTGGTTGCAAAATAACCAGCAGGGCCATGCCAATGCAACCCTACAATGGTGGTAGGAGAACCAGTGCTGCCCAGTCTTTAAAGGGTCAATCCCAATTTGTATGACAAAACATGTAGGTGAAGCAGAAATGTTCATGTGGTGTCACACATGAGGGTGTAGTCAAATTGGGGTGGCAGGGTTAGCATGCTGGCCATTTATCATATTGTTCCTAATTTGCCTTGCTTTGTTTAGAAGCACATACTCACCTTCCCTTGGCTTTAGCTGCCAGGAGCTATAACTGGAAGCCTTGTGTAAGCAACGATTCACTCTGCTTGAAGCTTACGCAAGATTCAGTACTGTCCCCCACGTGACAGCACTAGGCCAATCACTAAGCACCAGAACTGTCACATGAAAGGTACAGGAGTGAGTCACATGCTACTCCATACCTGGAAGTACCAGGCATTTTGTTCACTCCCAACAGCTGCATGGAACGGCAGAGTGAAGGAAATGTAAAGTATGCGGAAGGATGCAAACAGCCAAAATAAATATCTAGATAGTGCACCTTTCAGAGGATCACCACATTTTATCTCTTTTTCCAAAGTAAATACCAGTTATAGCCAAATCAACTTCTCTATGTAAACAAGTTGATTTGACAAAGATATATGTGGAAGGGTGGCATTAAAGCAAACCTCTGGCTGTGACCTTCATGTGCAATGCAAACATGTAAAAACAAAAGCCAAACCCAAAAAATAGTCCTTGTATTGTTGGTAATTACATACGCCCCCAACCATATGACAATGATCAGGTCTGGCGATTGGCCAATTAGGTTCATAGCACTGCGGTCTGGGGAGACAGGGAGCATGTTCCCCATATTCAAATATTCAGGTATTTTAAATTGGTGGCGGTGTTCTGTCGAGGTGACCAACTCGTCGAGATCTCCAACTCGTGACGTCACGTCTGTTGCAGATATCCACGAGATGGCGCTAGTGCACAGTTTTTGCAATCCTCGTTGACTTCTCCACTTGCCGTAGGTGCACTTGTATGGCTTCGAAATTGTCATTGAGTTCTCCAACTCCCGTGGGTGCTTGTGGAATCGGGTGCCCGTGCAGGCGCACTGCCGCAAATTGTTGAGCCTGATCCTTCTCTTGGGTGGCTGCGCAGGTGCACTGATAGGAGTTGGAGGTCTCGACGAGTTGGAGAATTCGATAAAACACCAGCAAGGATGGATCACCGAGGGTGAGGCGCTAAAGATTATCTTTTTGATTTAACGGAGAACTATGAGATGAGTGCTTTTCACTCACCTCATAGTTCTAGCCGACCTGTGACAATGAGACTGTCACAGGTCGGCTCAGTAGATCGGGAGGTGAGCGAACACATAGCGGCGTTCGCTCACCTCTCGATCCTGTCATGGCTCTCTGCCGTGACAGGGGAGGGGCTGAATTCCCCTCTCCCTGCTCCGATCCTCCAGCGCTGACTGGCGGAACGGACGGGGGAGGGGGCGGGTACAGCTGACTCTGCCTCTAGATAGGCAGAGCCAGCTGTCAGTCACACAGCTGGGCGGATCCAGACATAATTGTCGGGATCCGCTGCAGCTGCGGCGTCTCAGTATAGTAGCTTGCGGTATACTGAGCTTAGGGTGACGGGAGGACGCTAGTTTGTGTCATCCCGTTACCCTAAGGAGAACTATGGGGAAAAGCCCTAACCCCATAGTTCTCCTTTAAGGACTTTGTTGGTCTATTGTGGTGGAAATTGTTTACTATTCATTTGCAGTTATCTATGAACAGAAGCTCCAAGCTTTTGTACCTGGATTTGTCCTAAACTGCAACTGTCCTACACTGCAACCCCATTCACACTTGACAAAGGGGCCAATTGCATTAGTGTCAAGAATGGCTCCGTGAGACTCATGAGAGCAGCTGCAAACTGTTTGCATTCAGGAGGAACCACAGCATGTGCGATTACATGCACGCATGAGTCTCATGGAGGAACTTGCGAGACTTGTGCAATTGGACCCATTGTCAAGTGTCAATGCGGCCTTAGTAGACATGAATAATCTCAGTTGTAAAGTCTCCAGCATCTCAGTCCACTTACGCATATGAAGAATGTCACCAGCACACCAATGTCTCTACAGCAAATGAGTAGTCGTTTATCGACGTATGCTGTCTCTCATTTTGCAAGCACTTTCGGGGCCGCACAGGGTCCCCTTCATCAGGCTCACTGTCATCTGTGAGCCTGATGAAGGGGACCCTGCACGGCCCCTGAAAGCGCTTGCAAAACGAGAGACAGCATACGTCAATTGGTGCGCTGGTGACATTCTTCTAATATCTACATGCTGGTGGCGCCATCCGCAGTCATTTCAAGTACCCACCTGTATATCTGAATGGGAACCCCGGTAAGGAGTGCAGCAAGGAACTTCTTTTTTATTCAGTCCACTTACGTTCACCTCGTTTACAGAAAGCATGAAAGTTTTATTTGCACATCCAGTCTATGAAAACAGACAACAGCCTAGTGTGGATGCAAGTTATGAAACACAGATTATTTACGTACCAAAGTTTTCCAAAATATCTTTCTAAGAAACAATCGAGAGCAAAAACAACCATTTTTCAATGCATCGTTTGTAAAAACAGCCACATAAACTTGTTATTATCCCTCGCAGTGTTTACTAAATAAAAAACCCCCCAAGCCAAAGTAGAACGTTTACTGGTTGTTTGTGCCGCTGTTCAGTAGTGCTCTGTGAGCAGCCCCAGACAAGAGATGGTATGTCAGGAGAGCTGCCCACTGGAGCCTCTGCATTAAGACTGCTGACTCCGCCGGTAACAAGGACTCACTTTGATTTCTCCCTTTTTGCTACTCAGCACCAAATGTTTTGATTCCTAATTTAGATCATCCATCCTGACAAAACGTGCTGCCTTCTGAAGCCGGCCTTGATGGGGCTGCAGGCTACTCTGAACTAGCACTCTCTTCGACGTATTGCTGAGGGACACTGAAATGAGCCGAGACTTGTGACTCAGGGTTGCATAGTATGTTTTAATCATTAGACATTCTTTACAGCCCTCAATGCTGTGCATTAAAGCACCCATGACAGGTCCTCTTTTGGTTCTTAGATGCCTTACTATCTTGTTAAAATTGATCTCCGGGCAGCTAAAAAAAAGGCAAATGAAAGTGACACACAAATCCGGAGTTAGATCTTAAGAATACATTCAAGTACCTTAACTTTTAACAAAATGTATCTTATTTGTGTATCACTCGGCTGTAGATCCTTGGTGCTGACACTGTCCTTCCTTCTGGAGGGTGGCTACTTTTGTTCCCCATGGTCCCTGTGTGTGTTGTAAAGTAGTCACCACTCCAAGGTCAATCCTGTGATGGACTACAATCTCATGTTTAGTTTACTAATTTGTACTGAGATTGTAGTCCATCACGGGAGTGAGCTTGGAGCGGTGGCTATTTTACAACACACACAGGGACCATTGGGAACAAAAGTATCCCCCCTCCAGAAGGAAGGACAGTGTCAGCACCAATTCAGAGATGATTTGAGGATCTACAGCCGAGTGATACACAAATAAGATACATTTTGTTAATAATTAAGTTACTTGAATGTATTTTTAATATTTAACTCCTGAGTTTATTGTCACTTGAATGCACCGAGGCATTAAATAATAAATCATAAAATGTGGGGGTTTTTGTATGCATCTAGTGGAAGTACACAGTGTGCTGTGTGGCAGGGCTGTGTAAATCTTCAGATGGGAGGAACAGAAATGCAAATCATTTTGCAGGTAAAACGTCCCCCTTATATTTTTTTTTGTCTCTATATTTAGCTTTTTTCCTGGAGTTCAGCTTTAAAAACCTGTGGCCAGCCTGGTGTGCTCAGGGAAAGGACAGACCAAGATTGGAGTTTATGCTGACAGCTCTCCCATTCTCCCAGCAGCCCTCTAAGTATCAGTCTATTTTACTAAGATTGGCGTAGAATGGTGAGGTAAAACAGGTGGCCAGGAGCTGCTCTAAGCAGCATACTAGACTGGCTGTTGCTTATGCTAGACAGCTTGGATAATGTGCTTTGGGGCAGTGCTGAGCAGCAGCTGCCTATTATGAGGGTTTCCTACACAGCCTTCAGTTCCTCCAAACAGCTACCCGGTTCAGGTGCAATGCTGTATAGTAAAAGCAATGCAAAACATAACTAGTGTGACATATGCTGTACCCTAAACTCTGATATGATATCCTTTAAATAAGAACCCTTAAACTTTTTGTTAAGCGTACTCTAGTAGCAAGTGAGCTGTTGCATTCTGGCCCGTAGAGCAAAAAAACGTTCCTCAGTCTTGATTTCTAGTGATGACATAGACCTTCCCTTACAGGGCACAGACGTATTGTTGACGCACTAAGATGTAAGGACTATTTTAGCTGCATTTCTATTATTTTCTCATGGAAATACTAATTTCATAAACATATGTATTGCATGGGCATGGATTTCTATGAATTGGTATTTCATACCAATAATTGGTATAAGTTGATATCTCATAGTACCTCACAATTATCACCAGGTAGAAGCTAGCAGCATTTTAAAATATTTGTGGTCTTAAAGTAGAGCTACAACCTCCTAATCCTTACAGTCAAGGAAGGAGCCATATAGTCCTCTATTTGGATTGCAGATGCCATGGTGCTGCACATGTGATCATCTATGACACCAGGCATTTGAGGGCTTGAAAGTTCAGTTGAGAGCTAAAATAGGAACACTGGTAACCATCATAGTTGGCATGCCTTAAAAGTAACTGTTTTGGAAAACATTACATTGGTGGGTAACGTTCTTCTTTAACCTAGAGGAAGGCTACCACTAAATTATATTAACACCCACCTACATTTTTTTGTGAACCTTCAAAGGGCAGTTGTGCCCTTATGCCTAAAGATGGTGTGACTGGTGATTGGAGAAGCCATCCACTTCCAAGCCTGCAGCCAGTAGTTGACTTCTCCTTCTCCATTTTCTACATAGGATCTGTGTAGAAAAGGCAAGGCATGTTCAGTGTGCCATGACCTGCCAGCTCACTCGAGAGAATGGAAGAGCCACCATAAGCCACAGCCCCTGTAAATGGATGCTCATTCATCTGAGGTCTGTAGTGGGCTTTGAGATGGGGAAGAAGAGTGGAGACATATAGCCCCATTATGTTTACACCTATCTTTAAAGAATATAAAGGTCTAGTATAAAAACAAAAGTTGAGGGCACAGAGTGAGCCATCTTAGTCTCTACTAGGATTGCAGTTGCCCTGGGGCAACAAACAGTATGTGCAGGAGAGGAGTGGAAAGGGTATGAAAGCAGTCTGTATGTGCAAGAAAGGAGTGTGAATAAGTATGACTTCAATCTGTATGTGCAGGAGAGAAGTGTGTTGGGTATGATGGGGAAATATGTGCAGGACAGTATGACAACCAGCAAGAATAGTTCATATTTTACACAAAAATTTTAGTTTTGTAATTTTTAGAAGTTGTTTTTAATCTTTTTAAATTTGCATCTTTCTTTACAATGATACCAAGTGTTCATGCCACAAATGTCCTTATTCAGCTACTTACTGTTATAGAGTACCAACTGTCTGCCAGTTTTCCTGCTACATTGTCACCCTGTCAAATGGTGGAGACCCAAGGCATAGTCCACTGTTGTCACTATCAAGAACTCGGTTCTGAACAAGGATGTGCAACCGACTTTGGAGCCAGTGCATGTAAACAGAAAATGGCTGGAAGAAAATGGAGGCAATCAGGAACACTGAGATTCAAAAAAAGGTGAAAACAGTATTTAATGAGAAACAAGTGAATTCTATATGATACTCAGTGCTATAGCAAATTAAACGTCATCCAGTTTAGGTTTATCTACTTATCCATCACAATACTCCAATTAGCTGCAGACTCTAAGATCTTTCCCGTGGACTTTAGATCCTTGGTTCTCAACTGGTGGGTCGTGACCCAAAAGTAGGTCGTGACCCTGTGTTCAGTGGGTCGCCACATCCTTCCACTTTTCTAGGTTAGAGACTCCTCAGCCTCCTCCTAGCGCAGCACCATCAGTTCTCGTGCCGAGCAGCCGTTTAAAATATGCTGCCCAGCCCTGCGTGTCAGCTTGAGGTGGGGTGGGCTGGAAGTATGGGCATAAGGGAGCTCCATCCATATGTGCATTGCTTACAGCTCCCACATGTGCCCTGTAGAGGTGGCTGGACTGGGCTGACGTCACGTTGTGGCTCCCGACACCTTTACAAGTGAGCTGTCCA